GCCCGATCTCGCTTCTGTCCACCTTATCGAAGGTATTGGAAAGGTTAGTCCATAACTGTGACTATCCAAGCTTACATAACTCCATTATCCCTGAACAACATGGATTTGTCAAAAACCGCTCGACTGTAAGTAATCTTGTGTTATATGCTAACTTTTTATTTGAAAATATGGACAGGCGCACTCAAATTGACTCAATCTATACAGATTTTTGTAAGGCCTTTGATAAGGTGGATCACGTAATTCTCCTTCGAAAAATCGCTTACAACGGTATACGCGGAAACTTATTGCGATGGTTTTCATCCTACGTCACAAACAGGACACAAAGGGTGGTCATTAATGGATTCTCATCCGATGAAATAAATGTGTCATCCGGTGTGCCGCAAGGCTCAATTATGGGTCCTCTTCTGTTTTTAATCTTTATTAATGACATAACGACATGTTTTAAAAATTCACATTTCTTGCTCTATGCTGATGACCTTAAAATTTTCCGTAGTATATAAACATTTAATGACTGTGTTCTACTTCAAGATGATTTGGATCGTTTAACTTCCTATTGTCAAGAAAATAAACTAATTCTTAGCCTGCCTAAATGTAAATTCATCACCTTCACTAAAAAAAGTAATATAATTAGATTCACATATTCTCTTTGTAATACCCCTCTTGAAAACGTTTCACTTATTAAAGACCTTGGCGTGTTTTTTGACTCTAAGCTTCATTTTGACATCCACATTGACCATATTATAAACAAGGCCTTTCAACTTTATGGTTTTGTCATGAGAACTTGTAGGCCATTCAAAAAATCTGGCACCTATCTACTGCTTTATAAATCACTTATTAGACCTCAAGTCGAATATGCCACACAGGTTTGGAATCCTTTTTATCAAAAGTACCGTGATTTGCTAGAATCGATTCAAAGTAAATATCTACGCTCTGTAAACTACAGATGTCACCATTCTAGGTCCTCTTATGATAACCTCTTGCATGAATATTCTTTAACTACACTAAGCAAAAGGCGATCACTACTTGATTGTATTTTTCTATACAAAATTTGTCATAACTTCTTTGACTGTTCTCAATTTGTTAATTGTATACGCTTTCGCGTACCAAGTCGGTCACTAAGAATACGAAACACATACGTCCATCGTTTGTTTTTTCATAATATGTGCAAAACAAATGCAGGTAAACGTGCACCTTTGCGTCGCATAATGGAACTATACGACAACAGCTTCTCCGATGTAGATTTATTCAATATGTCACTGCCTCAATTTAGAAAGGCTATAAACCTTATATTGAAAGAATTGTAAATTTAAGCAGGTACTTAGTGAAAAACAGTTTTTTATGTTTTCCTCTTCAAAAATAATGTTTCCTTTGTTTTTATTAACTGTATAGAATCGCACGTTTGGCACGTCTTGTTCTTTAATATCTTTGTTTTTTCTATCTGTGCCTTTTCACTTTTATTAGTAGATACAGTGGGTTTATAGTGCGCTCCGTGATAGAATCTTATCAATTTATTTTGGATGGTAAATGTATGGACTTATCACGTTAAATCGATAAAATCGCGCGGTTGCATCGTTTCGCGGCGCGCATTCTAGACCCACAGTCCTCTTGTGGATAACGGTGTTGGTTGTATAATTACTTAAATGTTTACATAAGGTTTTAATTGTAATTCTTATTGTACAACTGTTTGTTTTCCTTAATAAAATAAAATTAATAAATATCCAAATAGAAATATCACGCACCATATTGCTTTGTTTCTGTTATGAATCTCCATGACATACTATCTGAAAAAAATACTGGCAAATTAGCCATGACTCTCAACAATGATCCTTTAAGTTTAAAAAAATACGAAATGTCGATTGTGCTACTAAATTAAACCAGGCTTTTTAAACGACTCTAAAAGCTGCTGTGAATGTGTCCATATACACCTCATTTGAAGCATAAAAGGATATTATTTGTATTTGCTAGTGTAAAATAATGTAGATCCACCGACACTCGAGGCAGCTGCATCGGAGGCGGCGCGCCGGAGCGTTGTCTATTTGGGTTGCGTCTCCATTCACTCGGGAGATTAGTGCAAACACCGCCTTTGAGCGCCATCTAGAGGGAAATATATATATTTGAAGTCTTTATGCACTGAGGCACATTTGTCTGCGAACGGGTTCGAATGGAACAACATTATTAATTTGTTATTTGAATACAGTCCAGCCAGAATTTTTTAAATTAAAATCGATAAAAACTTTTAACGAACTATTGAGGCCTGTTGATTAAATAAACTAGTTAATTTGGTTTTTAATTAAAAGTAGGTATAACGTGATCGTTATAAAAATATTTTAAAAGTTTTTCATTATAAAAAATATTGAAAATAATCCCACTCAACTATTAATTATTAACAAAGAAAAAGAAAGAAAGAAAGAAAAATTATTTATTTGACAACTAAAAAGCACAAAAAACAACGAGGCGGAGAAAAAAAAAATGTTGCCAAAGAGGTCACCCACTCAGTATTATCTTGACAGTTGACATTTTACTGCCAAGTGCCAAGACACTGGTTTTCAGTGGGTGCCTTGTACGCAGGGGCAAAAAAAAATATAATAAGATAAATTCAAATTAATTAAAATTCACATTGAAATAAAAATAAAAATAACAATTACAATAAAATTAAAAAAAAAAAATAGAACAATACAATAACTAAAATTTTAAATAAACATGTCCAAAAATATCTAAAAATTAAAATTCACAATAAAATAAAAATTACAATAAGAATAAAATTAACAAAATTAACAAAAAAAAAACAAAAAACAATACAGTTAATTTCAAATAAACATGTCAAAATAAATTAAAATTCACATTAAAAAATAAAATACCAAATTAACGACACAGACAGGACAATAATAATTTTAATTAGACAAATGTAATAAATAATAATAATCATGAAATAAATCAAAACAAAACAAAACGCCGCTTGGCTGCGGTCGAAGAACGCGGCCAAAGAGTCAGGTGACGGGCCGTGAATGAAGAAAAAATAATAAAAAGTGACAAGAAAAAGTCACCTGACGTTCACGTTTGCCACGTAAATCAGCCACGTAGCGACAGAACACTTTCACTTTAACAATGTACTAATTAAATATGTGTTTTTTAATGTCTACTGTGTTAAAAAAAAAAAATTAGAAATTATTTTTTTAACAAAGCTATTAATTATTTTCCGAAGCAGACATTTCGTTTGAACTTTAAACTATAGAATACCTAAGGAACAGTAGTCAAGAATCATAATTGTAAAGCCGTCCCTGGAGGTATAATATGTGAAATAACCTTTCAAAGCATAAGTATGGTGGACATTTTCGTGTAACGTGTACGAGTATAGAGCACGCAGCCAAAACCGCCGGGGCGTGCGGCCAAATGCCGTGCTGCCAATGGCTCGGATAATGCCTTTGAAGTGGCCTGCCTACAGTATACTTTGTACAGTGTGCTACAGCACAAACACAGACATCTATATCTATAAAAGCGAAAGGTCACTGATTGACTGACTGACTCACTCACTCATCACGAAATCTTAGAAACTACTAGTGCTAGGAGTCTTAAATGTTCCTTTTTGAACGTAGGTGCTCACATAGTACGGATTTCACGAAACCCACCCCTAAGGGGGTAAAACGGGATGCACGTGTACGAAGTCGCGGGCTGCCGCTAGTATAGTATACTAGTAAAGTGTACTTTATTTGCTAATATAAATACTATAATGTGTGACAAAACGTGTACTTATGATGCTTGATACTCTTGAGTTTTTCTATTTTGCTATATGGGTGTAGTTATACGGGAATATTCCCACATCTGTTCCCACCGCTGCAACTCCTGTGTAACCAGGATCTTGACCGCCAATAAAAACCCAACCAGTGAAGGTCAAGTTCGTCCCGGAGGAAAGTTAAACTGTGGGTGTTGTATAACTTAATATATTTATTATATCATCCAGAACTAATTTGATATTTGCCCTTTGTTACACACAACAATCCCAGACATTTCACTTACCAATTAAAAAACCCACTCATATTTCTCTCTAAACACCTGCGACCTTATAATGGAGAGAAAAAATGAGTTTCATTCATGCCATCGTAATAACTGGAACAACTTGTCACGCGTGGGATATAGTGTTGTGTTGGATATAGCTTAACCATAGTGCGGGGAGATCAGTTAAACATGTAATACTTTAAATTTTAATCACTTTGCAGAAGTAATAATTACTTTGCAGAAGACTGGCACCGGCTGAAAGTACGGACCTAGTGCCGTACAGCTTAAGCTGAGCCGGATGCCCCTGTCACCTTATTTTACAATTTAATCTGTGTTATGTATGTGTTTTTTTGGTGACAATAGAGGCTTCTTTAGTTAATAGTAGACTCGTTGATTGACGGATGCAAAATGGTCTGAGATAACACAACCCTTGGTGGACTAAAATTGATAGGTTCCTGCAGGACTTAGGCCGGTTGTAACTTGTAAATAAGCTGTTACATTATCCTACGGCTATAATTTCGATGACTATGAAAGGCTATGCGTAACGAATTGATGGATTTCTATAGATACCTAGATTAGTTCTATAGTGATGTTATGTGCTAGTAAACTGGTTGTATTCTTTTGACTATAGCCCAATGTCTGTTCGCCCTCAGTATTTTGATTCCGGCGTGGTGTGAAGTGATCTAAAGTTTAACAACAGTTATCTACATTGAGTTCTGAATTTGAGAGACAGACGAATGTAGGCGTGTGGCCCACGCGAGCCTCCGCCCCACGCTTGAAAAGCGGTACTTATTAAATTACCTATTAAAATGTTCATTGTTAAGGTATTCCTAATTAATCGCCTGTAGAGTGAATATCCATTCGCGATGAAGCGCCGAAAATATTCAAAATTTAATTTAGCTAATAACATTATAATATCTAATTACGGTGTTGGCTTTAATTAATATTGAAATTATTGAGATCCTTTCAGATCGATTATGAAACTAATTAATTTTTTTTTGTTCTAGATGGTCGGACTTCAAATCAGCAATAAATTAAGACAAAAATGAATATACGGATCTTATGGTAAGTTTTTTAATTATTTATTACTTAAATAATCCGTTTTATCATCTGTGATTTACGGACGCAATGGCCGCGGCTCATGGTTGTCAATTTACGAATGACATATGAATCTTGGAGGAGGAGGCAAAATACAGTCGCACGTGCCAGTTAAAAGACATCCTTTTCTATGAAATTACGCCGAGCAATGAAAAAAGTTCCTTTTAATAAAGGCAAAACAGAGAAATAACAAGTTATTTTTAAATAAGTGAAGCCGGTTAAGTGTGTTTGAGTCAATAATGGAGTGTTTTTCAAGGAACTTCTTGTACAAACTCTTGTCATACTTCTCGGAGTTTTACGGCGACGGCCCAGATAACTTGTCAATGTGACATTGAGGGACATCTTGTGTCCCGGGACGGACAAAAAGAATCTGTCTCGCAACCCTCCTCGTTATTCGAGGTTTGGAAACTAAAAAAAGTAAAAAAAACACCATTATCATTATAACAAAAGTAAAAAAAAAACGTCATAAAACTCATTTATTTTTGCAAATAGGCTTTTAAAAAGCACTTTTACACGTCCCAATATTAACCTTACCACCAAACATAGCCAACTTCTTAGACTGGGTTGCACTTGCACCATCCTACTTTTACTTTAACAAACGTCAAAAATCTGTCAAACTCCATACAAAAAGCACCGGTTATGGTTATAACCGGTTACTGTTAATGTAAGATGGTGCAACTCAACCTTAGTGTAACATATTTGTTACTTTTTCTAAACTGTTTAATTGTGCCCATTTTACTTTTTCTATACTGATCCAAATTGAACCACTTTGGTGAGTGACCTTTAGGTGTGAAGTGCTTTTTATCACGCACAGACACAACTAAATTTTGACCATGATAAGATATAGCAGACGATAAAAGTAGATTGCTACAATTAAGTGTTTAGATTTGTTGGTCAAAGCAAACTGCTTTTTAACTAAAAATTATTATCATGTATGAGATGTATTTGTTTAATTTTAGACCAACTTTAGGATCTAATTAAATTTAAAGCAGTTTCTGTGCTCATTTCTTTCTCAATAGGACAAGAAATTACGATATTCATTTGTTCAAACTTGGACAATAAAACGTAATAACGAGGGCTGTATTCCAAAAATAGAAATGGCTGATTAGTCGATAATAAGACGGAATTATAATAATTTTGAGATGTATACAGATCCTCAAGCTAATGAGGTATATTGTTGAGAACGCCCACCGCGTACAGATGTTTTTCTTATCTGGGGGCACGGCAGTGCCCCCACCAAGTCGAGCAAAAAAGCGGCACGGCCGTACCATCCTTTTCTCGAAGCAATTCAGGCCATTTTCGACCGCCTGTAACTTCGTTGTGGATAAAACTAGAAGGCTGAATTTTCATTAGCTATGCAGGCATTGTAAAGACACGGTATATTTAAAATTTCATTCAATTTGAACCAGTAGTTTAAGAATTATAACGGGTCAAAGTTACTTAATTTTGTCACTCACTGACTGACTCACTGACTCACTGACTCACTCACTGACTCACCGATCATCAAAACTCTAAGGCACTTCTAGCAGACCTAGAAGCTTCAAATTTGGAATATAAGAAGTGTTTGGTGTATGAATCAAGGAAAAACTAAAATATTTGGGGGCACGGTAGTGCAACCGCCAAGTCGAGTAAAATTTTTCAATTTCGGTCCAGTTTTCTAGATACATAACTGCTGTCTACAAAATACAAAAAGAAATGAGATCCCATCAAAAACAATACTTGTCAAAAAAACCAAGTCTCGCAACTCAGTTGTTCTACGGTAAAAAGTTGTGAGATCCATGTAATACCAAGTCCAGGCCAGGAAATCTTTAACGTTTTACATAAATATATTGACTTGGTCATCGCATGAAAACACGTGTAAATAAAATTATTTAGTGCGATGGCCAAGTCAATAATTTATGTAAAACGTTAAAGATTTCCTGGCCTGGACTTGGTATTACATGGATCTCACAACTTTTTACCGTAGAACAACTGAGTTGCGAGACTTGGTTTTTTTGACAAGTATTGTTTTTGATGGGATTTATATTTATCCATTCAATGAAGAATGGAAAATTCCAAACAAAATTACTTACTCTAGTTTCAGTTGTTTTTTCAAAGCTACAAATAAATAACCTAAATTGTATAACTTTTATAGAAAGCCCAGCAAAATAAATTGATGTATCGTTTGAAAGTGCGCCGTGACTTTCGGGCTATTTCAATCCATCACATTGAAATATTTTGAATAAAAAACAACGATCGCTGATTCTAATGGATTACGTGGATTTGAATACTAAACAATTTTTATTCCACAAATAAAAGATTGATCGGGTAAAAAATAAAAATAAAGCCATATACGTAGGTATTATTTTAAAGGTATAGGTCACCTGTTAATACGTTTCTGAATGTATACCTACGAATATTCTACAACCCCGTGGAGTAAAGAACTGATTGAGGTTACAACTGCTTTGGCTGATGCCATTAATGTTGGATCATAAAAGCATTCTAATTGATTTTGACTTTGAACACATACACAGTGAATAATACACGCTATGTATGAGTGCCAAATATACGAGTAAATTGAACTTCATGTCGCCGGTGTGGGTCTCTTGACTCTCTCTCCTTTTAACCACGAGACCCCATGGACTCTACTGGTACACCTTCGTAGACGTTCTACTTCAAATACATAAGATATCACCAGATTACGCTTCACCTCAATTATAAAAGACTCGTGCCCCGCAGCATCTTGTAAGAGAGGCGGCTGCGGTCCGAAATTGTGTGAAATATACGCGCTTCCATAGCGGCGGATTGCCCAATTTATAACACTCGCCGTTTATTCCCCCCCCCCCCCTCCCCTCCCCCCTTTCCCTTCGGACGGGTAGCTGGCGATGATTTATCAAATTTTATTATTGTGTTTTTAGCGGATTTTTGCGGAGGTATTCATGTCGGAGCGGCGTGAAATATTTTAGTTCGTTCACTTGTTTTATTTTTCCGCTTGTAACTTTTTTGTATGAATCAATTTGTTTCATTTTCATCACTTCACGCTGCATAGTTTTTGTACGGTGTAGGTTAACCTTAGTGTTTTCAAAAAACTTGGAATATAAACGTATGTAGCTTGGACCTAAACAGTAACTTTTCTGTATAAACTGATATCCTGGAAGATAACTAAAGGCTAATAAAGAGCTTTTACTATTAATGAAGATAGCTCATTATTTCCCGGCCCTCTTCATAACTCGGTAGAGCTGCCCCGGCTACGACCATCGCTCTAAGTTATCTCAAATTAATTACTATAATTTACTTTATTATTATCATAGAATATTCTTTTCTATCACAAAAGTGGATAAAACGACATCTCGGTAGACTCAATTTCATAACATTTGCGATTGATTTATCTTAGAATGAATGACAATAAGTAAGTGAATGTAAAAACATGAATGTAGATGGTACCTATGATGCCTTGACACACTTTACATCCTTCAGAAAATAACATTTACGAGGAGTGCCCCATGGTTCACAAGGAATAATGAAATACACGAGTACTTGAACACTTAGACCCTGGCTATAGAAATAGAGCGACACAAGAAACTGCACATCGAACGTCTTACTCATCACCCCAATCCACTGGATTTGATGGAGAATGACAACGTGGTTAAAAGGATAAAAAGAAACCACGTGATTTAAGAAGACAGCATGGCATAGGCCCGCAGCTGCTTTTTAATAATAAAAAACACATCACCTGCAAGCTTTCAAAAAGAGAATATATCTTCACCTTAAAGGCCGGCAACGCACCTGTAACGCCTCTGGGTCTGCGGGTGTCTATAGGCGACGGTAATGACTTACCATCAGGTAATCCATCTGCTCGTTTGCCTCCTGTCGTATGTCGAATAAGTAGTCTGGCGACTGATTGCAGAAAAAATCAGAATAAAAAAAATGAAAAGTACAACGACAAAGCACAACACACATAGTGTGACTCGCTGATTTGATGAAATCAATAGCGTAAGCAGTTGAAATAACACCATCAAATCAATCTAAGTGTTTCGTGTTTGAACGAAGCCCGGCCTTCAACTCCTGCGGTGGTGGCGGCCTCTACCCATCACCACGAGGGGCTTTTACACGCCACAGTTTGCTCACGGCAAGATAATATTATTGCAAATAATAACTAAAATCTATTAAGGGAATTTAGTTTAGTTTTTGTAAGATTTTTTTAAAACAGTAGGTGCAGTCATGTTTGAACAAAAACATGAAGTTTATTTTCTACCTGCAGACGCAGTCTTTATTAATTTTAGATCAATATTTTGCGCTTATGAATTTTTGTGATTACTAAGGGTTTTTGATAGAAAAACTATAGTGAGCCCTTATAAGTAGTTCATAATATTTGTTTCGTTAAGAACAAGCTTCATTTTAATAACCATCAAATTAAATTTTTATTCATTGCCGTGACAATGTTTTTTTTAGACTACCGTAACGTGCTTCTTAGTGCTTTAATCGTCATTTCATTGTTCATATAATATTTAGTTTGGAGTACCACACGAGTATTCAACGCCCTCGGCGTCGCGTGCGCCGTTAATTCTTTATCTGTGCCCTTCATCTACAAGCGGCTTTACACTTTCAGATCGACAAATGTGTATTTTTGTAGAGTAGAAATGTAAAAACATGCGACTTAACTGTCAGTATACGAGAATATTGTGTGAATGAACGAGTTTATCACTGGGAAGAGAGATACTCTCAAAAGTCAGCGTTTTGAACTAATGTAGAGACCGTATATCCAATTTTCCATTTTTCGCCCCGCAATTGGAAATTCAAATCTAAACTTTGCTGACAATGTGCTATCGAAATGCAAGAGATATGGACTCCAACGCCTAAGTTAACAGGATCATGCTTAAATTACTATGACAGTTCCATTTCCATTTTTATTAGACCTGAAGTACAATCGTTTTCAGCTTCTTTCAAACGGAATAATACGTTCAAAGACGTGACAATTTATTGGCGAT